TTTTTCTTTGTGCCTTAATTTTTATCAGAAAGAAAAAAAAAATCATATGAAGGAACAGACAAGATATGGTTATATTTTGTTCAAAAGGAACTGATTACTGATTATATGCACACAACAATAGAATGTTGTGTAAAATAAATACTAGTTTTGTGTGTCATATCTTCAGAAGTTGGAGCATGTATATAGATTAACGGCTGTAACTGAAATTTCATAATGATATCATCAGCAATGAATTATTAAATCACGATAGATGAATTTGAATATTAATTATCAATATTGCTATTAATTGATCTAAAGCTGTCGATTTGGGAATTCAAACTATTATTAAATTCCAATTAGTTGTGTACATTCATGTACTTTATGTACATAAAAGCTTACAGTGAGTGCCGAAGAAGTGAATTAACAAAATATATTTGAAAATTATAACTAATTGATGACCTCGTCTCGCTTATTTTATTATATAAGTTCCATATGAGCATTTTCGTTCCTCATCTACGTAAGAAATAAATTGTGTGTATATACATGTTTTTTTTTTTCTCTACCGTCATTACGTATATGATGATTCTTTCTGTACGAGCGTCAATTTCTTTAATATTTTGTCGATAAATGAAGTTATAAATGCTTAATACTTAAACACATCCATCTAATAAATGCTCATTTACTTTTTGCTTTATTCACAGATTCAAAACATCTTATTTATTCAGGTTGTTCAGGTGCCATTGTTCTACGTAAACGAAAGCTCTTATAAGCAGTAATGAAAATATCTTACGGATTAATTCAAGGACTTTAATTACTTCAATATCTACGTCATAGCAGGCATTTGAAGAAGTATATAACATTATTTATGTGTTTGAATGTTCTTGTGTCAAATAAACACGGCAACGAGTAACAACAAGATATTTAATTGATCATTAGCAATTACATGCAAAAGATGATGGAGAGTAAACAATTTGAAGCTGAAGTAGCCTCTATTAAAGGTAAGAATTTCTCTTAAACTTAACTTATTGACTGTCATTTGATTTTAAAATTTTGAATTTGAAATTTTATCAAAGAATGTCCAGTAATTTTTGAACTTCCACTTTGAAATTCAAATTACAAAATTTTAATATTAATTTATGGTTAATTGTCAATCAGATAAGCTCAATTGACTTAAAAACATGGCAACAATCATGTACTACACTTGAAATTCATAATATCACAGCCAAAAATGATAAAATTTGAATATATTTTTAAAAACTTAATTGTTTACATTTCTTATTAAGTAATAATCCAAAGAATATGATGAGTTAACATGAAAAAACGAATTAAATCCATCAATTCTCCTAGATTTGATTCATCACGCATCATAATAATGACTCTTTTCTTTCTGTAAGCAACTGCACATGCACTAAATTGATTTAATAGCTCTATGAGCAATAAAAAAATTGCAATGTCAATGGTCACACTATAAAGCAAATAGAAAATAGAATATAGGGAAATAGCAGCTAGTTATTTTATATCTCTAACTGTTTATTTACAATTCATCATTATAATCAGTAATACTACATAAGGATATGATTTGTACATATTTGTATGCTGCCTATTTTATTTAATTTTACTTTATTACGGAAACATTAAGTGGAATGCATTTTAAGCGAGCTTTCCTTTGTTTACATGAAAGTTGCGTGCGTTTTTTTTTACTTCACATAAATACCTTAAATTGCATTCATTGCATCTGAGGCTGGTTGTCGAGAGTAAGTGAGATGGAATTTAAATATAGAGAACGTGTTGCTGATGATGATAAAATAATAAACATTTTAGAGATGTATGTCAGATCTATTTCACATCATTAGTTCACGAACTGTCCACAAACGTAGTTTCAATTATTATAATCAGTGCAACGAAAAAAAGTAAAAAAAAAGTTTGTAAAGAGAAAATTCTCTAATTAGACGCGTTACAAAATTATTGATAATTTGTTTGTATGGTACACTGAAGAAAGCTTATTATTTTGCTTAATTAAAGTTCCTGCATGCAGAACTTTTCATCATCACTGCCGTCATTATCACTAATAATGAAAAAAAAAAGATTTTGAACGCGCTCTCTTTTCGCGCCTCATTTAATAAGCGATCAACAAACTTTAGCTCGGCTGTTGTGTCTGTGCCGCGATCATGGAACAAGTTTACACAATAATATTTTTTTATATTGTATTTTCGTTGCTGATAACTGATAATCGACAACATATTATATTTTTTCATTTTGTCGCGTACCGAAAATATACAAAAATCGTCATGAGCTATTCATGAGGGACTTAAGCGCAATATTGAAGAATCAATTAGTTTTGTTCATCATGAATTGTAAACTTTTGAATTTCAAATTTTTAACGGATTTTAAAAGTTTTTACATGAATTTACTAGACATTCGGAAGTGAGGTAATGCTTCTGATTCAGAATGAGCTGCTAGCAGTTAACCATACAAAGTGGATTCTTAATCTGCCCTTAATTCTCAAATAACCGCTAAATAGACGACGTGCCCAGAAACATTTTCTTCTTCTTTTTCCCTTTTTTTCCTCCCATATCTTTTGCATATTGCGGAACCATGTGAATGAGAGAGAAAGTGTCACATCATCAGCTATTAATAAAAGTACGAAAAATATAGTCAGAATAATAGCATAATAATTATTTAATATATGTAATAAAAATATTATTAATCGTATCTATCAGCCATTCAATTGTGCTGATAAGTGCACATCGCTTACTCCATAGATGATTTCCTTAGTTCCAAAGTACATTGACGCGAGCGAAATTCCATCAAGTTTAAAGTCTGATTTATATATTTTATTATATTTTATGTCTTTTAAATTTTGATGACTAAATACTTTTATAACTTTATTGTTTTGATGGCTGAATGAAAGAAGCCTCAATGCGAAAAGTGCAATGATAATAATATTATAAGCATTCATGAAAATTGATCATGCTGTCAATTATTGACTCAAGAGTGAAAATAAACGATGAACAAAAAAAGGTTACTGATAGCATGTAATTGAGGGCATAAGCTATGAATGGAGATATTTATATGGAAAAGATGAACCATAATTTAAACTAAGAATCGAAAATAGCCAGACTCGAATCTATATTTATAAAGTGAAACGCGTGGAATAATTAATTGCGAAAAACATTTTCCTGTAAAGTTACGTTAGAATCGAATCTAAAAAGGTTTCAGAAGATCTTTTTTCTCTCTCATATCTACAAAATAGGAGATTAAAGCCTTCAATATATCACTGCAATGTTCACAGCATACATTCTGTTGATTACCGGATTTCGTATTGTTTACGAAACAAGCAAATGACTTTGAGTTTTCTTTCTGCTTTGCTCATACTCAACAATTAGAATTAAGCAAGTCATCATTATTAGATCAATTTGCAAACATTTAGTCGGTGTGGTGCTAAAATTTCCCAAGTATTCTTGTTGATCGACTCAACACTACATCACAGTAAATACTGTCGTCGCAGATTACGCGAGTGTGTTATTTTGGCAAAGTCATTTTTGCGTATGAAGTCTTGGCTGGGCCTGATTGATTTTTATATTCTTAGAATAATTGATTTTTTTTATAACGGTTTAAAAACTATTTGAATTAATGAGATTTTATTGAAAATTTTTGAGATTTTATTGAAAATTTGTTATTTTGAATTTAAAATATCCGTTAAAAAATTTCAAATGCGCTGTCAGTCACGTGCCACTTTAAATGTTCAATAATTTCTTTTCATCTCGGCTGATCATATCACATCTAATTTGGTGATCGTGACTGGAAAATTCTCAAACTAGTTTCGATAGCTGAAATAAAAATACTAATCCGGAAGATATATTCTTACTTTTACAGTCAATTATGATCATGATAAGATGCCTCGTGCAAATTTATTCTTTCTAAAACTTTTTTCATATTTTTTGATAAGATAATCCAGCCGATTAATAAGATTGAGATGTATATATTCACTTTCGTGTTTTTTTTTCTTATGTTTATATACAACAACACAAGCTTGATAATCCCAAACACGCTAATACACACTCGTATTCGTATCAAACGATGATACTATATATATATTTACGTTTCTATACACATTTAAGCTTTTATTTCTTTTTTTTCTCAACCATCGCGAAGCTCTCCAGAGCTGCCTTTGTCAGTTACAATTTGCAATTTGAGCTATTCACTTCTTAAGCCAGTGTCCATAAACGTGTTTTTTTTTTTGTATTATCGATACCGCTCTTGTTGAACATTCTTTCACTCAATGTATTGACGTGCATACATTTCGGCTATTTTGGTTGAGTAGTTCATACCTACCTACATGTATATAGTCGAAAAATAAAAACAAGACATAGCAAGAGAAAGACATAAACAGAAGGAAAGAAAGAAAAAGTGAATTAATTAAAAACAAAAAAAAAATTGTGCGATAGAACCGACAAAAAATGTAAATTTCTGAACCATTCACATCACATACACAAAAATTTGGTATACGAAGAAGTACTGAACAGGTCACCTAATGTCAATATTTAAGCAGTGATTTGTTAGAGGTCATTTCATATATAAATGTGTTGTTGTTGTTCAAATATCTAGCATTTAAGTTAATTTTTTTTTGTTCAACAAAGCACTGCTTGTAGTCATTAAAAAAGCTGTGGCAATACACAATAAATAATAACAGTGAGAACCATATACACAGACATACGCGTGTAATTAAAAAGAAGAACTTTATGTTTCCAAAAAAGGAATGAAGCTTTGCTAATCACATTTTGAGGTATTTATTTATATTTTATATTTCTTCAAGTGATAACTCCTGTGATAAAGAAAAGAAAAAATACATTCGCAAAGCGACTCCGCAAAATACAGCAACAATAATAAGAAACAAAATTGTGATCAAGAAGGAAAAAAATTCATTCTGTGTACATCCGTAAAGAACGTTAGATCGTGAAGTCGAAAACGGTTGCACGAAAAAGAAAAAAAGATACGATAAGTAAGGAAACGGCCTGTGAATGAAGGTGAAAAAGGAAAAAAAGTTTTTTGAAATGAAAAGTGACTTAGATATATTAAATTTCGGTGGACATGATTATTTGTTAAGTTCCAGTGCAATACCACTTGATGATCACTTATTTCAATCACAATTCAGTATTTTGGGTAAGAATCAATACTTCAAACCTGTTATTTACGTCAATACCTCATACCAGGGGCGTAGCCAGGGGGGGGGGGCATAGGGGGCCCGGGCCCCCCCCTACGAAAATCTGATAATTGTTTTATTAAGTTTTTATAGAGAAGAACCAGTTAATGTAGAGGAAGTGATGAAAGAAATGTCAAAATCAGCACGAAAAATTAAATTTACTACAATGAATAATGAATTAAATATTTAAACTTATGAAGAATGAATATAGATTTAAGGATACAAAATAACGGTTTTTTAATTTTCGAAAATGGCCCCCCCCCTTAAAAATTTTCTGGCTACGCCCCTGCCTCATACCTGAAATGTTTGCAATTTGTTTATGTAATATCTGGATGTTTGACTATCCTGGCGGTTGTTAATAAATGAGGTTTAATTTTTAATTGCTGGGTCTGTTCTAGAACTATAGAACAATCTATAAAGATTAATACTTTGTAGCATTGAAGGGAGTGGTTCTAATTTTTGACAAACATCACCTCCAAACAATTCCATAGGTATCAAAATATTTATCATTAAAATCCATTAAGCTTAGATTGAAAATCCCCCATGAAATTCCCGTATGTTTCTACTAGTCCAAACTCCAAGTATTGCTAAAAAAGGGAGATAAGGAATTTAAAAATATGATTCACACTAATACCTTTGCTCGCTAGATAACAGCCTTACTTTTTAATTATTATTTTTTCGTACAAGTCTGCTGGTGACTGAACTTATCAGAATTTATATCTTTCATCAAATTTCTTAGCTGTTACTGTTTGTAGATTATGTACTGACATTCAGAACAGACAACTTTCTATTGAGCCACGTGTTCTATAACAAATTTGAATAGATTACCGTTATCGTACAAATATATTCTGTACTGTATAATCTCTTTTGAATTTGTGTAATTATACAATAAATATATTATTTATGCAATCATAAAGACAGGGTTGGTGGAAGTAATCATTTTCGAAGGTTTCTGGATGAATTTAGCTAATTATTGATTTTGATTCTAATCTTTTTGAAATTAAAGTTGTCTTTTAAAGTAAATAATTGTTCTAAATATGAAGATCACTTGCATTGACTTGGCTACCTTGAATTTCTTTTTCGCTTAGTCATGTTTATAGTTAATTCTTCCTTTTAATCTTCTGAGTTTCCATTTAAATGTCATAATTTATCTTAATCCATAAAATATTTATTTCTGATCTTGATATTCCTTGAATATTAAAGTATAGATCCAGCTTTTTGTTGATTAAATTTATCCTTATAAAGACACATTTCAGGAAAACCTTTTAACTGCTATTAAAAGAATCAGTCTTGAGACTTGACGAGTTTATAGATTGCAGCCCTGAATTTAGCACCCCGTTCTTAAATATGAAATGGCAATAAGATGTGATATTAAGTCAACAGCGTTCCCAAATAAGCGAAAGTATATCTTATCAGCAAGAACTTATCATGATGGTATTTGTTTGACGTCTGAAAAATTAAGCTTTGGAATTAAAAATAGTACCACAAATGTTGGTGGTCTTGAAATTGCATTATTGGCATTGATAATGTCATGGATAGTTATTTTATTGATAGATTATGTGTCTGATAAAATACATTATATAGATTAACTGGAATTATCAATGTTGTTGTTGCTATTTAAGCACTGCTGGAAGTTTTTGTGTTAATTAAATATTGAACTTAAACAGTTAAACATGTGAATTTTGTTCATTCTTTTCACTTTTATCAACGCTTGAATCTTTAAGAGTAATTTATAGAATCCATTGAGTCTTATCCCAAATTATTATTTTGGCTTTTAAGCACATTCGACTTAGTGATATGAAGAGATTTATTAAAGTGCAAAAGATAAGATTTTAAAATCATAATTTAAAAGATTTGTTATAGAAACACTTGAAAATGTTCATGTGGGGATATTATGATTTGAACTAGCTGTGACTAGATTTCTAGATTGACAAGGAAATAAATTTTCCATTGAGTGAAAATCAAAATATTGTGCTTGATTTCTAAGGAAAATGTTTCTTTGTTCTTTTGGGTCAGTTTTCGTTGATGTCACTAATAGAAATAGGTTCTTTGTGGTTGTCTGTCTGTATGGATCAAGCATGTAAAGATTTAATATTTAATTCTTGTAATTAATTCCGAAATGGTTCATAAATTTTCAAATTTCTTTTTTAATCAAATTTTGAACATTTGCATGACAGCAACAAAGAAGAGATTAGTTAAACTTCATCACATCCAGTCTCAGAGATGATTAATTGCCAACAACCATTGCCATAATTCAAAAAAAAAATGTTTAAAATTGTGTGAAATTGTTAAAAGTATCTAAAATAAAACAAACTGATGATTGTAGCTGATAATTGAACAGTACCAAAAGAATGTTAACTACCACAGTTGATCAATATTTGACTTTGCAATAAATTCCTCTCTTCTGCAAACTGCAGTTGCTTAAAGAAATATTATCATGGCATGTCTGGTATTTACATACAGTCTTGGAAACTTTTTTAATGTGTACATTAACTCCAGTCATTCATATACTTATTATATACAGTCATCCAATTCTATTATGAGGCTGGGAGAGACATTAGGGAGACACGTGAGAATACAAAAAAAGTTTCCAATGATTACAAAATAATTTTTTTGATAATTATAGTGAGTGTGACATTGGATGATAAATGTATGTTTTAGGCAATAGATTTTTGTGTCTTATCACTCATGTCTACATCCATGAATCATTTTAAGGGGGATTATGTTAAATGAGTAACTAAATGTCGATAATAAAAAAAATTTTTCACTTGAGCTGTCGTAAGACACACAACTAAAAAGTAAATATGTGCAGCACAGAAGAAAAGAAATGAGTTCGTTTCATCTACAAATTATCAGACCGTTGCTTTAAAAAATAATATAATAAAATATTGATAACCGAAAAATGAAAAGCCGAACATATTAATGATCTCATTCAATGATTTATTTATTTACTTATAGAAACAGAAGATGATACATCATCGCCGATAATGTCAAATTCATCCATGATGATGGACGATGTAAAGGACATACAGACTAGTGTCAATATCAATGGATCATGCAATGTCTGTGCAATTTGTGGGGATCGTGCAACTGGCAAGCATTATGGAGGTGAGGATAGATGATTATTTAGAGGAAGTAGATAGATTTTTATTAATTATTATTATATTCAGCATCCAGCTGTGATGGATGTAAGGGATTCTTCAGGCGAAGTGTTCGAAAGAATCATACATATTCGTGCAGGTAATTCTTCATACTTAATGCCATAAATACATTAATAACATTCTAATTTATCCCATAAAATGCTAACAAATACTTAATGCTAGATTGCTGGTAAATTTCTCTCATTCTATAAATATTCGTGTGCCTCAATCATCATCACTATTATTATTAATAATTATTTACTTTTTATCAATAGATTTCAGCGACAATGTGTTGTAGATAAAGATAAGAGGAACCAGTGCCGATATTGTCGTTTACGCAAATGCTTTAAAGCTGGCATGAAAAAGGAAGCAGTTCAGAACGAACGTGACAGAATCAGTTGTCGACGACCAAGCACGGAGGATTCAAACAATTCAAATGGATTGTCGGTTAAGTTTTTATTAAAAGCTGAAATGCTTAGTCGACAAGTTACAGCAGCGCTCGATGATGTTACGAATGATAATGAAGATTTGAGTAATAAACAGCATGCAAGCATTCACGATGTGTGTGATTCAATGAAACAGCAGCTCCTTATACTTGTTGAGTGGGCAAAATCGATTCCAGCTTTTGCAGAATTACAGCTTGATGATCAAGTCAGTCTTTTAAGAGGACATGCTGGCGAGCACTTACTTTTAGGTGTCTCAAGACGTTCGATGCACTTGCATGGAGTTTTATTGTTGGGTAATCATAGTATCATCACAAAAGCAACACCAGACCAAAATGCCAGGAACTTGGACATTTCTAAGATTGGCGCTAGAGTAATTGACGAACTTGTCAGTGCAATGAAGGAGATCCAGTTGGATGATGAGGAACTCGCTTGCATAAAAGCTTTAGTTTTCTTTGATCCTAGTGAGTATTTTTTTTTGTTTTTTGAAAAGAGAATTGCTGATAAGGCACGGTTATCTTAATTAATTTTATTAATCTCGTGATAAAAATGCGCTTCCCGCTAGTAACTTTTGACTTTGATAATGATTTTTCGTAATCAATTCTTAATGTTTTTTAGATGCTAAAGGATTAACAGAGCCAGCTAGAGTCAAGGGCATACGTCATCAAATCCTTAAGAATTTGGAAGACTATATCAGTGATAAGCTTTATGACTCACGAGGAAGATTTGGCGAGATTTTACTTCTCTTACCTGTTTTACAGTCCATAACATGGCAGGTAATATAAGCGGTTCTTATTTCTCTGTTTACGATCATTTATATCTCACTCTTATAACTTTTACTTTCGTAAGATGATTCAGCAAATAGAAGTAGCCAAAATGATTGGCGTTGCGCACATCGATAATTTATTACAAGGTATGTCTGTGTGCTAATTCTATTTATTTATTATAATTTTTTTTGTGCTTGTCTTCATCACCATTACGTTTCGGATTATTCTGTTATTAATGATCATTCTTTAATTGTTATGCTTTTTTTTTTTTCCTTCTTGTTGAATAGAAATGCTACTTGGAGGTGAGACGCAAGTCGATTCTTACAATAGTCCTACGTCAAATAACAATTTAAGCGCACCAGATGAGAATACCTCAATGAATATGAATGGAAATAATGAGGTAAATACGACGTCACACGACACGCCATTGTCTAATGTCAATCTTATTCAAACATCAACGGCACAACCAATACAGACAATTAATGACGAATACAAGTCTGTGCCAAAGGATACAAATCAAAACTTCTTGCCAGAGAATAATTTAGATTTATATCAGCCACAACATCAACCACACATTAGTCCAAGAGTGCATCCATATGATTTAAATATTGCACATCAGCAAGTCCATAATCATCATTTGCGTTCAAATAGTCACGGGAATTGTAAGCTTTCACCGTATAGTAAGAATCAGAATCTTTTGATAAGCCATCAGAATTCAATGTTTGATGGAATAGTAAGCAGCTCAAATGGCAACGATATGATGGTTCTTAAAGAGGAACCCGAAAACGGATATTAAGTTATTTCATCATCATCTCATATACCGTAAATAACAAGAAAGAGAGTTAAAATATCAGTAATAATTAGGGCTTCTAATTTATAAATGACTGGAATGGATTGTTTAAAAATGGTATGATTTAGAGAATTTCTAGATCAAGTGAGAATTTGGGAAAGTTCCAGTGGAAATTCTAAGCTGTAGAGTGGAAATATAACGGTTTTTAAAAATTTAAAATAAATTTATTGGAATATTCCACTGGAAAATAACGGGTTTTTAAATTTAAATTAAATTCATTGGAAATATTCCCGATATTGGAAGCCCTAGGACATCAGAAAATCTATAGATTAAGGCAGACAGAGAATGTTAAAGTTGAATGTTGTTTTAAAAACATAATTTGATAAGGAAATTACATTTCATTAATAATTTAAGTAAAACAAAAAAGTTTAATGATGAGGATAGGTGGAGAAGTTATATACTAATATTAAGACTGGAAAATGAAAAATTTTATTAATAACAGTGATTAAATGTAGAACAGAAGGTGCTTCCAAGCAATATTAAATGTTTTTTTTTGAAGGTAAATCTTTTTTTGTGATAAGATCGTGGCAATGGAAGCATGACTGTGTAGATTTTATACTTGAAAAAGCAAATAATCAAGATTTATTGTTATTTTAGTTTCGGTGACTGTTTAATTTTTTTTTATATCAAAGATTTTTTTTTCTGATGTATAAGAGCATCATGCATGTTTGTGGGTATTTAAATCGGTGACTACGAACACCCCTCACAGCTACATGCTGCATAATCTTGTTTTAAAAAAATCAAATTCGTTGACAGACGTTCTGTACAATTTTTTATGTTACTTTATTTCATTTCTTTTATGGTGGAAATGTTACATCATTTACAAAAAGTTTTTGTTGCCAAATTTTTTTCTTAAATAAAGGAGAATTTTGTTAAGATGTTAATTAACTACTTGTGTATTGGCCCGGCCAAATAATGAGTTAAAAAGTTCTGTTTTAGCTTCTTCTGTCATCTCGGTAGTGTCTTTTGGTGGCATGAAATTGACAAGCTTGTTGTGAACATTGTATCTAATCTTTCTGCCTTTTGATGCTCTCGTTTCTACTCGCTTCTTCATCTTACTTCTTACATTTTGTAATTCCATGAACTTTTGAGCCAATTCAGACTGATTGTCGCCAGTATTACTTTTGTATTCAATCAGTTCTCTAAGAAGTTGATGATAAAAATCGGAATCGTCAAAAATGTCAGGAATATGGGCATCATTCTGTGACTCGTCATCTTTTTTGGGGATTTCAACACCAAAAATTTCATAATCTCCCCTATAAATTTGGGTTTTTCTAATCATTTCATTCTTGCCAAGCAGGGCATTTTCAATTTTGGTCATGATATTCAAATTTATGACTGGGTTTTTTGTGTCTTTCAAACTTTTAGTTCTATCGTTCCATTTCTGAAGAACTTGATTACGGAATTTTGAATAAGAATCGTAGTTATCCTCTATTCTATCAGCATACTGTGCTAGTTTTGATCTTTTCATCAATAATGATCCATTGTTTTCTTCATTTTTCCTCTTACAGCTTTTCAATACATTCTTGGACTCTGAAAATCTATGGAAATAATTTTTAATTTAATTATAGATAAGCTTTATGTCATGCGATTCTTACCCATCAACTAGTGTCGTCTGCAGTTCCAAAAGATTGTCAAGTAAATTATAAACTCCATCACAAGCAGTTTCAATCTTATCTGCGAATTCTGTACCCTCAACTTCTGATAATTCGATGAATGAATCAAAATCTGGGAAGCTATTGGCAGTTATTAGCATTTTCTGTGACTTTATTCGAATTTCAAGCAGTTTCTCCCAAATTTTCAACTGATTTTGGACGCAAACTCCTTTTTTGACCTCATTGCTCGTTGTTTCCTTATTCACTAGCTTTGTACTGTGTTCCTCGGTGCTTTTTACATCTGCTGGATGTTGTTCTTTACTGATAAATTGTGAAATATCAAAATCATCTTCTTGCTCGCTTTCATCGTCACTACCGTCTCCAGAATCATCATTATCAGCATCAGAATCACTGTTTTCAGCTTCAACATCCTCTGAATTATCGCTTTCTTCTACATTTTCATCTTCGCTTTCTGTTAATAAATCATCATCGTCTCCACTATTTCCATATTCTTTCTCTATTTGCTCTCTACTAACGACTTTTCCTTTATATTTCTTATCTAATTCACTAAGATTCTTTGCTGTTTGCTTCCTTATATCACTCAATTGATTAATTTCAATATGTTCATCGAAATTCTCTAATTTTGCTTCATTCTCTTCTCTTTCTTCAGTTAATTCCTTTGGCTTCAGAATGTCACTAATACGATCTGCGATCGTATCCTTTTTCATACTTCTGTTCATCCTTAATTAACGTAAAAATCAATTTTTATTAAATCCAAAAAAATATCAACACGTGAATTTGTTTACTTTCAAATTTTTTTTACTGAACGCAAAATTCAAAATATAATAAGCCGTTATTTTTACGAGTAATTTTTATTAAGGAAATTCATTTCTGCTTTAATTAAAATACAGTGAACATTACAAAAAAAACTTATTTATTTTGACCAACAGAATTAAAGAGCTTGTCTTTAGCAATTTGTGTCATTAATCCATGAATCAGTTCAATAGAAGTACGGCAGCAATCACGAGTTGCTTTAGTTAACTTATCTTCTGTTCTCTTATCTCCACCGTCAGCAGCTGGAAAGTATCCACGATTCAAGCTAGATTCACTTTGTTCTAATTTCTCAGATAAATCAAATATTTGACCAGTTGTATACTCAGCATTACTTAATAATCCACTGCTACCTAAAGTATTAACCCAGTATTTATTCCATAAAGAATCGAGAAGCTTTCGATCCATAGATGATTTGAAGTAAGTGATATCAAGTTGATAGTATTGTTTGCAATGAACACCAAAATCTTCAATCTTATTTAATGGAATTGTTTGATATTCAGATGGTTCTTCATTTGGTGGTTTATATCCTTTTGGAAAGGTACGAAAAGCTCCAATATTGACTTTTCCAGACGAGACAGTTCTTACTGGATCTAAAACAATAGCTACAAATGGTTCTTGATAATTTTGATTCAACATTTGAGTTGAGACATCAATTCCAGACAGCCAACATCCATAGCCTGGATGTGAGTGATACCATCCAATAGCATTTTCTAATCTTCCTTTAATTACACAACATTACATCCAGTTATTAAATAATCTGATCAGATATTAGATTATTCAGGACTTACCAACTTCCTTAGCAGATTCTATGTATTGAGTCATGTACTCATAAGCTTGTGATTGTGCATTAACTCGAGTTTCAGTTCCTTCAACAGGCAATGCGAATGCATCCATAATAATCATGTTATTTCCTTCAACTTTACCAAGCAATAATCCCATAATTTCAATAGAACCGCCTGATCGAGCATGCATTACCATTTTTAGAAGAGCTAATGCTGAAATCTTGACGGTTTTAAAATAATGTGGATCTTTTTCCCATGGTCTCGAATTGATTATCTTCGATTGCATTGCACCATCATATTTAAAGATTTCATCCGATGCAGGCAATGTTTCAATGTTATTCTCCAACTCCCAAGTCTTTTTGGCTATTTCTGCGTCCATTTTACAGCCTTACTTCACTCTAAATCACTTTAAAAACTTAATTTAACAATATTTTCTTCGGTAGAAAATTTGCAAAATTCTGTAAACAAAAGGATTTTCGAAATTAAATCTTCGAAATTGACGAGTTTTCATGCCTTGGAAGTTCGAAATGTAAAACAAATTGATTAAACAATATTAATAACTTTCCTGTTCATTTAAAAAACTTTAAATCACTTAATTACAACACGTTTGACTTGAACATATCGCAGACATTGGAGGTAGCTATAAAAACAATCAATAAATGATGAAAAATTGAAAAATTTAAACTTTTAGCAGTAAAATGGATAAAGATACAGCAAATAATAATCATCTGGATCATTATAATGAGAAAGAGAAGCTGTTCATGATGACATTGGATACATTTGTGTTTACAAAGCGAATCATACAGTATAAAGAAAATAACAATAAAATAAATAAACAATTTGCTACAATTCTGTATGATGCAATGAGCGAAATCGAGTCATTTATACAAAATGCTGAAATCGAAGAAGTTGATGACGACGTTAATAATGTTAAAAATGTTATACCGTCAATTGAAAGTTCAGTGTTGCAAGCTCATCAATATTTTTACTGTAAAGCGTGCAATCTGTCTGTAAAGTCTTCAAATAAGGCACTCAACGAACATTTTTATTCTCCAAAGCATTTAAAGAATTTAAGAATTCTGTCTGCAAAAATGGACAATGGAAATCAAAAGACAAAGAGTAGAGCAGAAAATGGTCCAACAAACATCGATAAAAATCAAGAGGGATCTACACAAAGCCTTAATAGTCTCGACGATCATCCACCAAAAAGTTCTCCTAAGAAGGAACGATTAAATTCATTGCCAGCCAGAGTTCGTGACATTCTACCAAAAGATAACATGCCTAAAAAGATGCGTGATTTCTTGATCAATTACGATATCGAAACTTTCGCTATGGGATTAGTTAAAGAAGCACAACTAGTTCAGAATAGTCAAAAACATGTACGAGTCTGTGATATGCTAAGAAGAAGATTAGTAGGTCGTTACCCAAACGTCAAAATTCACCCATTTGGTTCCTTCATTAATGGTCTTGGACATGAGAAAACAGATTTGGATATATTTATTGATACTGAGAATTGCTTTTATGGAAAGCTAAGTAAGAGGAAGATGAAGGATGCAATCTTTCAAACACAACGTATTTTGTCAAATGGACAGGATCAATGGATTGACTTTGAACCGATTATTAAGGCACGAACACCAATTCTTCGAGTGTTTTGTAGTGTTGAAAAAATTGACTGTGATCTTAGCTTTTCGAATGGCTTAAGTACCGCAAATACAGCACTAATTTCTTATCTGATTAGTTTGCAGCCAGTTCTTAAGAAATTGGTATTATTCATCAAATTTTGGGCAATGAGACTAAATCTTGGAACTAATAGCTATCTATTGACATTAATGGTTATATTCTATCTGCAACAAGAAATGGTTTTGCCTCCTATTTCATTATTACAAGATGCTGTGCCACCAACATACATTGAAGGATGGAATACAGCTTTTGCAACACCAACTTTGGTCCAATTAAAGGCACAACCAGCCACAGATTTTCGACGTTATTTAACTGGATTCTACAAGTACTATGGACATAGTTTTGACTTTACAAATCACATCATTTGCATACTGACTGGACATAAAGTTCCAAAACATATCTTTGATCATGGAAAGGAACAACAACTACCTCAAGTCTTTCGACCATTCGTCACTTACATGTCGAAAATTAATTTGGAAGAAGCAGATGAAGTTGAAGACTTATTTGCTAATTATAAGCCGCTAGTCATTCAAGATCCATTCGATTTGGTCCATAACGTCAGCAAAGGTATTCAGGAACAGAAGCTTATGAAGATCATTCACTACATGCGTACTACTTACGACTTATTAACGAATGCAAAAGCTTAGCTTCATACAAACATTTATTTCATATTATTTTTTTTTGATTCCTTATCAGCAGTTCCAGTTGTAAAATTTGCATTCTGTATGACAATTGAAAGATAATATTTTTTATTAAAATGATTATAAACAGCAACAAGTTAAATAATAATAATAAAAATTGATGATAAGTTGATGATGATTTTAAAATCTGAAAATGATACACGTATGACTTTATATTCTCACCGTGTATCGCAGGCATGGCTCGTAATTTCAACGTGCGAGAGAAAAAAAATGTTTTAAGCTCTTCGCTGTTGCTCTTTGTTTCATTTCAGTCAGTCTAGTTTTAGCCGTGAAGAAGTGAATAGCGTGGAAACAAGTTTTTCTTTACAGCACAGCATTCACATATTATTGCTTGGCTTTGTTGTTGTTGCGGTTGTTGAATATCCACATAAAGCCACACATGAATAGAAATCTTTTGGAAAAATTATAAAATTTCATAAAATTCATGATGAGACGGAAAAAAAGCTAATCAGCACCAATAATAATATCAAAAAAGACGAAGCTAAAAAATAATTAGTGGAAGTGATCGAAAGGATTTTGTGAATTGGATTAAAAAATTAAAATTGTCAAAAATGCCTTTAATGGAAAGTACAACGGAATTAAAATTCTTCAAATGTCTTGTGTATTTTTACGTGATACTTTTATCGGTAAGTGACTACTTAAACTTAATGTTTCACACCTTTATTGCATCCTACTTGCCGCAAAATTACAGCAGATTTCAAGACAAACTAGTTTTTTATTCGTGATTAAGTGATCTCAAGTTGAGTTTTATTGTTTCATTGGAATTGGATCTTGATGCAAAATTAATTTGCATACTTGAGTAATGTTAAGGTTTTTTCGATTTGCTACTTAAAGTCAATTTTAATGAGATTTACTCAAAAAAAAATTTCAACGGTTTTGAAAAATTTGAATTTTATGCAAATTATTGATTTGTTTACAAACACAAATAAACAATTTCAGGAAAATCGTCAAAATTCTCTATTAAAAGTGACTCATAGCAGCTCATAGGTAGTGTCAAGCATAACAACAAGTCATTTTATTCATGTTTAACCTATTTAATTCACGATTAATCATTGAATTACCTGGAATTTTGTAATTTAATTTTCCTTTGAATGTGTTGGTGAGAATATGTGTACAAAATTCAAATTTATTTGAACTGTTGAAAAATTAAAATCTTCCAATGCAAAATTTGCATGCTTCGCAAATAAAGAACATTAAAATTGCTAATTCTGCGATTCGTTCAATTCAATCAGTGATTGTAATACAATATTCTCGTCGCAAATTTTGCTTTATTAGAATAATGATAAAGTATTACTTCTTGTGAGGTTAAAGTCCATTGAACTGTTCTTGGTCCCGTGAATGAATGAATGGGTTAAAAATACAATACAAAAGAACTGAAAATAAGTCTTAATGGCTAAAGAAAAATTTTTACGACTTAAAAAAGACATGAGGAAATGCGATCACATTCCAGTGTGAAGTATTAATGACAAAGGGATTAGGTAAAGCTCGTAAAATTTTTATTAGACGATACAATTGGATTTATGCTTCTTAACTCTTTTGATCCAAAACCGTGTAAAACTAATGATCAACGTCATTTTTTTTTGTTCTGTAATATCCATTTTTGTTTTGCGATCGTGTTTCGCATGAGAATATGTACGCTGTAACTCATTTCATAAAAACATGAAAGAGAGCAGTTTTACCGCAATCAGTATGTGTGTTTGTACTGTAAACTTATTTAAAGTTGAATAGAAAATTTTAATTTTTTTAACATTGTTTCAGGGAAAATAAGCATCACTTTGTCTGCCTACAACTTTAACTTAATTTATGAATTGATTTTAAAATTTAACGGTTTTCTAGAATTCAAATTTTAATCATTGATTTTTCAAATATTTTCAGACCGTTATAATTTAAAAATACGCTTCAATCTATCAAGCCTATTCCAACAATATTTCTGTTTCTCTCTCACACACTAATTTACTCAGCTATAATAATCTTGCGTTGAGAATTAAAATGTAGTATTATTCATACAAACGCTTCAAGCATCTACGAATGTTAATTATTTAAAAAAAAAATTAAATGATATAAACAAGTTGAGAGAGAAATTAGGTATTTAAGTTAGTTCCAACCAAAATGCGGGCGTAATACATTTGCGAAGATCTATTTATATTAACAGAAATGTGCAATAATTAACCCAAACACTTATCCAATAGGTAAATGAAACAGAAGCGAATTATTTTGCCTAGTATGTGGCTTAATTGACATACTTTTGGATTCTTGTTCCATGTGAGACGTATTTAAACAATTTTGTATGGATTTTAATTTATTTTCTGTGAAATTCTTCTTTGTTGCACGATCCAAAGGATTTCCTGTCTTTAAAAAAGGGTTTGCAGCAATGTTTGTGCTGTTTAAAGTCAAATTTATGGAAATTTAATGATTTTAAAAGGTTAATGATGTTCAAGAAAGGCAAGTACACATTATCAGCTATAATATGCTGATTGCTGAATGTTTTTAAAGTGTGATTCTCTTGTAATTCCTTAATGCGATGATTGTTATAAGGGGCCGTTCACTTATTACGTTCGCACTTTAGGGGGGGGGGGGGGGGGGTTTGAAAAATTGTAACAAAATATAACAAGGGGGGGGGGCAAGAAGTATGTAACGTTCTAATTGTCGTCTGTCTTTTAAAATGTTTACAAATTCACACCAAAAACATTTTTTTTAATTTTCCGCCTTTTTAATGATTTACGAATGTCAAATGTCCAGATCCTTTTTGATAGCTAGGCAATACATAGTTTTTGTTATATAAAGTAACAAATCAATAGAAAACTGGTTTACAAGACTTTAAAATACAATCATGAAAATTTTCAAAATTAAATCAATCATAAGTTTAAAAGTAAATCTCTCTAAATCTGTCATTCATATGATGATTAATATGATCCCATCATTGTGATATTTACATTCAAAGTTGATTGAATTTTCCAAAATTCGAGCGAGCATAATATTTTTCATGACATTTTTGAATTTTCTTCAAAAAAAAAAACAAATTTTTGCTTTATATCACAATCCAATAATTCATGAGAATACTTATAGTATCAATCAAAACATGACCTATTTAGCTGTACAGTATTTGATGTTTAAGAAAAAAATACAAAAGAAATTTAACCGTCTTTTTAGAATAAAAAACATTAAAATAAAATAAATTATGAACGTTCAAGGGGGGGGGGGGGGAGGGGGTTATGAGTTGTAACATATTGTAACAAGGGGGAGGGGGGGGTTGAAAAAAGTCGTTTTTAATAAGTGAACGGCCCCTAAGCTTTTGTTATTATTTTGAAGTTTAGTATTTTTATGACTCAGTTTAATTTGAGGATTTCCCGGCAGTTTCAATATTTATTAAAGCTGTTGATTATTGGATGCAAATAATAAAATCTTCGTTTTAGTTCTAAGAATGTATTAGATTCAAGATGATGCTTGTTAAGGTGTTTAAACTTCTAATCTTTAAGTATTGACAATTGAGTTTAAAGATCAAAGTGATTTTAGATTAGCAGCTCAGAAGCTTTGTTTGTTAAAAATATTGATCTGATTCGTACGATATTGTGGATTCTTAACATATTTGCCAGAGAGTCCTGTTCATAAAATATCAAAATTTACTATCTTTATCTTTAAACAAATCAGAATTTAATCTTCCTTAACAAACATTCACCAAACTTGCAACACTCAATAATCCCTAGAAATTTAACGGCATATCAATCAAGTGTCACACATCTCAAGCAATCAAACATAAAAAATTTATCAGCTTTTAAGTTTCTGAAGTGGTTTGTTGCTTGTCAAAAAATCTTTCAACTCTTTTTCGGCAGATTTGTACAACATTCAAACAGTTGTGGCTACAAGATCCAGACAAACTCACACACAAGTTCATAGTTGTAGGTTCAGATTCAATGATTTATTTTCTTTACACTCCACATTTCTTTAAAAAAAGCCAGAAATTGTTTATTTATCGTAAATGAAGTCTACGTACTCCCTTACGATTCCATTTTCCATCATATTAACATTTAAATATTCAATAAATTTAAAGTTTTTCTTCCCTAATGACGTGATGATTTTAAAGTGAAAAAATTGAAGATGAATAATAAATTTTCCTTGCTGATTTATGAAAATCTTTTTCATTTTCCCATAAAAAATATTGAAATACAATCCAATTGGATAATTTTCCACTTTATTAATCTTTTTTTTTTGTTGAAAACTCTTAAACTGCTATAAGTTTTTCACGCAAGCTTTACAAGGACTTTAAAGCCATTAATTATCATACTTTTGTGAGATGGTCAAGAAAAAGTCACGCTACCAACTCCTCTTCACATTTTGTCATCAGATTGTGTATGCGCTATAGCTGGTCTGAAGAAAATACAGTCATAAAATGGTCTAGATTTGTGAAAATTGTTCGAAACTTTGACTGTTGATTTCAAAGATTGTCTTAATATGAATCATCAGATAACAGCTATAATGCATTGCATTTAGATGTAGATTTATTTCAAGCTTGAAAGCAATTTTGAATGGCTTGAAAATTTCAATTCTAATTTTGACAATTTTTTGTTTTAATTTTTTGGAAGATCAAATTTCAACTTAATTAGCTATCATTATTGAATCATGAGCTAATTTTCATTTCTATAACTCCTGAATTCAATGTTTAGATAATGAAATGATCTTAAAATCCAGTAATTAGTGAGAAATCATGAAATTTAAAGAAACAAACTTCCCGCCAAAATTTCTAAAGTTTTATAATTTCCTCAAAAATCATTTCAAGAACAGAAAACATGAACCATTTCCCCAAACTAAGCCTATCAAAAGACTTTTCATACATAATAACATTTGTTTTTATTTCCAAGAAAATTGTGTCATAGAATTTTGTAAGAGAAAATATTTATGTTTCATCTTTCAGCTCTATTTAAAAATACATAAAAACCATAAAATGACGATTCATCAGACACAGACATAAGTTCTATTTGTAATAAGAGATGATGTGTGATTTGATGTTTAATGATTCCATATTTTCTTGGATGATTGCACATTTATGAAGTTTTTGACAGTGAATTTATCATGAATTTATTGACCTCTTATGTCTTTTAATGGATAAGCTTGTCATTCAACTAATAAAAGAGTCAGTAAATAACATGAAAAAGGTTCATATAGAATCAATCAGCACTTTTGAAACAGTTTTTTTTCCTTCCTCAATATACTCTTCATAAATAAATATTTAAATTGAGCATTTTTTTTTCTTCTCCTTTCCAACTTCACATCCACAATCGACTGTTTATTTTCTTCTCATACAGTTGAAAATTCAAAGGAAAATTTCGTTGCTGTAATTAAATATTATGAGCACATTAATAACTCAAGTCATAACATGTGGATGTACAGGAATATTCTGAGTGAAAGACATGCTCATTTTCCCAGCATGCTACCTAGAATCACTTTTCATATCATGTCATGTTCTAGTCTTGCATCTGGTCAACATTTGTCTTATTTTATTGAGGTTATTCCTCGGGTATGCATGCTTATGGGATGTTAAATGTTTCTTGGACTATTGGGTTCTATTGGGGATCAGTAGGTACCAAGTAATAATACATAGAGTGTCATTTGGTAACTCCATCCAGATAGAGTAACCAGCACGAAAATCACAAATCGCTAAGATGACGAAGAAATGACTTGAGGGAAAATTTCGCGTCACTCGAAAAATTCGTCCTTGCGTAAGATTTCGTCTCGATTATCCGACTTGTGCTACTCGGGCAGAGCTCTTTTTGACTAGATAACATTGCTGTTATCCACAGAATGGTCCATAATTTAAACCACACACTCAAAATGTTGCATTATGCTCGGTAACAATTAATATAACATCGACGTGCTTGTTGCATCAAAATAAATGCACAAGAAGATTCTAAAAGTGTAATTAGATACATTCTGAAACGGCTTAAGAGGGTCTAATTCGAACGATAAGGCAATAACATAAATTTCACAATGTGAAGTTGCTATAACAAAAAGAGAAAAGTTCCATTCACAGAATAGATTTAAAGTCAGAAGAATTGTCGTAAATTTCGTACGCAACCAAACTGGCATAAAGAATGTCATTTGTTTTTTGAAAATTGTCTCATTTTTATTCGCTTCTTGTGGATGTATTTTAAAATAAAGGGATTTGATTTGAAGTGATGTCTCATTTTGAGGGGGAATATTATTTTAAGATACTTTTATCTAAAGTTCACATTCTTGTTTGGGACGACTTTTTTTACCCCCCCTCCCCCCCTTGTTACAATATGTTACAACTCACACCCCCCCCCTGAACGTTCATAATTTATTTTATCATTAAAAAGGTGGAAAATTTAAAAAAATGTTTTTGGCGTGAATTTTTAAACAAATGTTTTTCAAATTCAAAACAAAGACAGACGACAGTTAGAACGTTACATACTTGACACCCCCCCCCCTATGTTACATTTTGTTACAATTTTTCAAACCCCCCCTCCCCCCTAAAATGCGAACGTAATAAGTGAACGGCCCCTTTGTCAGAAACATAATAATCTTTGAGTCTGGTCTCTTTCTGGTAGTTACAGAAACATGAATAACTGCTAAAGAAGCTGGAAAATTCCTCTTGTGAAGTATAAGATTTCATACAAAAATTCTTAAAAAATTATAGTGAAAGGATGAGTTCAAATCTTACTAATTAAGGAAGGAGATTGAGTCAAAAATCCAATTTTTCATAGACGTCACTTATCCTCGACCCCCATGATAGATGGAGAAAATGCATATTCGCTCAAAAGACATGCATAGACGCATATTATAAAAGGAAAGAACGTGAGAGATGAAATCTTTTTTATTTCTTTTTAAATTAAAAAAGAATCGTACTCAGACGCAAATGCTATGGCCTATTTATATCACCACGATCATAATGCGTCTGAGTGTGTCTAAGTTGCGGTTCACAGAAAGCATTTGACAGAGTCTGGCATAACGGACTCTTGTACAAAATGCTCAAACTGAGATTTCCACTGCCACTTATAAAAACTGTAAGATCTTTCCTCAGTGAAAGATCTTTTGCAGTTTTTATTAAAGGTCAGTTCTCAGAAATCAAGGTAATCAAATTCGGAGTGCCACAAGGAGCAGTGCTTTCACCAACTCTCTACAACATCTTCACGTATGATGTTGTAAGAGAGACAACCAACAACATCGGTCTTTTCGCAGATGATACAGCACTGTATCATTCTGCAGAGAACTCGGCCGATATTGTGACACATCTACAGCACACAGGAAGAAAAGTTCAACAATACATGAACAAATGGAAGATCAACCTCAACAAACAGAAGACTCAAGCCTTATTCATCACAAACAGGCACTCCAGGCAACTACCAGGAAATAACATCAAATTTCTCAACGAAAACATCAAATGGGAAACAGAAGCTAAATATCTGGGAATGGTGATCGACAAGAGAGTGACATTAAAGCCGCATGTGGAGTATGTGACCAATAGGGCTCACACCGCATTAAGACAGCTTTATCCGCTCATCAGCAGGAACTCACAACTCGACGTACGAAACAAACTTCTCATCTACAAGCTAGCCATCAGACCAATATTCACATATGGTTGTCCAGCGTTTGGAAGCATGGCAAAAACCCATCTTCAAAAACTTCAAGTACTGCAAAACAAATTCTTGAGAATTGTTCTCAATAAAACAAGATATGAAAGGATCACCGATCTTCATACAGAAGCGAAAATACCGTCCATCGAAGACTACGTCGGAAAGTTGCAAGCGAACTTCAACAGTCGTCTTGCATCTCAAAACACCGAATAAATCAAATGAAATACAAAAGAAAGTAAAATCCGTAAATGAAATCAAAATTAAGAGACAAAAGGCAAATTGAATGCCTGAAACCTTAAAACAAAAAGCAACAAAATGTATAGAAACTTTGTACATACTTAAATTTAAATGTAAATAAATAAAAAGTTTAATTTAAAAAAAAAAAAAAAAAAAATGCGGTTCACAGAAACTTCATTATTTTGTTATAATCCAAGATCAGAATTGCAACAACATTAAAAACATGGACACATTTATTTATTTTTAAGCATGTATGTATGCTTTTTTTTATGTCATTTTCATGTTGAAATATCAAAGATTTTTGTAAACAGACATGACTATAAATCATGTGTCAGTGAGAACTAGATAATTATTAAGGTGCTGATCTATTCCAACTTTTTGAGTTTTAAATTTCAAAAGGAAACGTGTAGTTTGCATTTATGCAGCAAGTCATGTTGTTACGTACGAAAAGTTATTAATCAATAAATATCACGTACAATTCTCATCTTGCTTTCTTCTCATCTCGAATTATGTTATGAGAGTCTTGCTGCACCGCACGCTTATGTTTATATTACAAAAGAAAATTTTCGTCATTCTTACGCTATTAATGTAAATTCTCATACGAAATGTTTGTTTTATTTCCTCATGAATATTTCCTCCTAAGACTCCCATATCCCCACTATATGAGCTTTCTTTCTCACATCAATTTAATTAACATATCAGCGATATTGTGCAATACAGGGAGAGGATTTAAACTTGTATATATACTTTCTGCTCAAGTGGCTGCAAATTGTTTAAAATAATTTTTTTTTGTTTCTTGAATGAAAATGGAAATTGACTTTCTGAGTCAGGGGTTCTCAAACTTATGGTCACGAGAGGTTTATAAGGTTTGTTGGTGTCATAGTGAACATAAAATTCATCAGAATTTAAAGTCAGGAGTTGAACCTAGATGCACAAGATACATTTTTTATGGCATTTCTAATGAGTCAGAGGTGCAACAAGAAGAGCTCAACTAGCGTGGTCAGAAACCGTTGCTACACCAATAAAAGCATGACTCAGGGACATTATGTGCTTTTGCTACGGTTCGAACATTGAGTAACTTAAGCTCAGGTCTTAGGGGTCATTCACTTAGGACGTCCGAAATTAACGGTAATTTTTCAATGGATTTTCAGGAATTTCTAGTGTTGTTTTCTTGCTGACCCCCCCCCCCCCCCCCCCCTCCCCCTTACTCAAAGCTATTAATTCTATCTAATTCCGTCGAAATTCACATCTAGTCGTCTGGTCCCCACAAAAACAGTTTAATCATCACTGACCTTAATCCACTAAAACTTGTACCGATGCCGTTGCTGTATTTTGTGTTTAAGTTATTCGCATTTCTAATAAAAACACGTTTTTCCTTGTTTTTCTTTCCTCAATATATTTTTTTTTTTAAATCTGAATCACGATGTGATTACGCACATGGTGTTCATCAGCTTTTCATTTTGTATCAAATGAATGAAAAAAAAAATTAAATTTGTTTCAATTTTCATTTTGAGACTAGCTTGAGACATGCAGAATATAAAAATGATTTTATTTTAATTCATGACTGGATTTATTGGTTCTTGGAAAATTGTTGATTCATTGGCATGGATGGATGTGAGGCAGGATGACTTGAGAATTATTCCTTTTATGAGCGATGATCATTTGAGTCCATCCTAATTAAAATAGTTAAAAATCCAAAGCAGCAAGAACCAGGCAAGAACTCTAATCACCAACAATTAAAAAGTATGGTGAACAAATTGATGTGTGGCGATTGTATGGCTGCCTATTAATTTTCAAATGACTTGTATGTCAGAACATCTGCTGTTTCCCATTACACATGGTTCTACATATAATCCCGTATTGTCTTATAAGACATCTTAAGGCTATTGTCGAATTAAAAATTTAATTAGTTTCACGTTACGTAATATTGACGGATGTACATTAAAATTATCCAAATATATCTCTCTCGACAAGTCAGGTCTGCAGTAGCATTCAATGTTTACATCTGAAAAGATATTAAAATACGTAAAACCTCAAACTTACGAAGGCCATCTGATGATTATTGCTGATTCTCTGTTTATTTATTTAAATCGAGAGAGAAATTTTTATTAAGTTTCTGATTTTTATGGCTTTTATGTTGTCTTACGGACCGACTGCTTTTTTTTATTCGATTCAATCAATCCTTTTCTTTTCCATTTGAATGATCTTTCTTTATGTCTTCTTATTACTGGCATTGTTTTGTGTATCGAACATGATCAAATCAAGCGAGAAATCAAGGAAAGGAAGCGCGATCAATTAAGTTATAATTATAATTTTATTGAAGCAGAAAAAGTTTCAATTTCCGACATTGAGTCACTGACGATTGTTAATTCATTTTTCATGTACTCATTGTATCTATTTTTGATGGAAGTTAAATGACATAAACAAGTTTAAATGATAAGATTTTTCAGAAGCAATTGCCTTTATCTTATCATAATTTTGCGGCTTCTTATCATGAAATCTTTAATTCTGACTACTTACTTATAAGCAAAATTATTTTTATTTTCTTTGCAGCTCTCTGGTGGACTTCAAATATTTTTTGGAGCAACATTTGCATGGAATCATCTTTCTTATTCTTTAGTATTAGCAAATAACTTTTGGATACCGTCAACAATTCTCTTGTGTTTGGGTCCAGTTACTTATCTCCTTTGTTGGTTGGGATGGAATGCAGTAAGCAAAAGGAATAGGAATTTCTTAAGAATTGTAAGTTGTTTCTCTATTCGGTGTCCAAACCACCTTAATGTCACAATTTAAATCATTTTCAATCCTACTCCTCACACAGTTTACAGCTCTTTTGGTGATATTAGTTTGTATACAATTTGGACTCTCAGCATGGTCACTAGCCTTGCGCGAAAAGCTTCCAGGAGCTTCAAAATATCCACTTGATTCATCATTTGAAGATTTCAAACTCAATATGGGTGAACATACACACATTTGGCATAAGATGCAGTATGAGCTGCAATGTTGTGGAGTCTATGAGCTTACAGATTATTATCGAACAGGAAGTTCACATTCGGGAGTTCCTTGGAGTTGCTGTTCAATTCCTAAACAATCAGAACACACAGCATGTCAATCATTTCATCAACGTGGCTGCATGCATGTTCTTAGTGACACAATTCGTGAACGATTATTTCATGTCTCTATTGTGCTGATTAGTGCAGCCATTGTCCAATCGATGGGACTTTTCTGCATTATTCAGTTGACTATTCTACTACATGACGAGGATAAGAAGTCTAATGATCAAACAGATATGCCATCAACAAGTAATCGTTCGCGAGAAAGAAGAGAACGTCGGAATAAAGAATTACTGCCATTGGCACAAACCTCAAAAGTGCCTGACAATCAGAAATATTGAAAATTAGATTAATTAAACGAAGATTTTTTTAGACGATAAGATCTCGAATTCAGTCGATAATTTCGAACTTAACTTACGCAATAAATCCCTAATTGTTTTTTTGTTTACTTATGATTAATTGATGTAAAAAAAAAAAAAGGAATAATAACCAATCATAATTAATTTTCTTGGAAAATTAGCTTTAAAAAATAAAGACAAGTCGTTGAAAGTTAATTAAAGTCTCTTGTTGATTTTATGTGCTTAGAAATTTTCAGGATTTTCAGATTTATTAACATTAATGACATTAATTTGGGCAATTCTCCAGATGAGTTGAGTTTTTGAAAAAAGAGCTTTTATAATCCAAAGTCATTTACTGTTTACTTTCAATTTTTTTTTGTAAATATCTTGTCAATTTCTTTGTTTTGATTGCTTAAAGCAACTTTAAACTATTTATTACGATTGATTCTCACTGAATCAACAATAATTCACCCATGAAGTGTTAAATTAAGACTAAAATTTAATTTTTATGAAATAATTGCTTTGCATTTTTTTCATGGATTTGCAAAATAAAAGCTTAATTTTTTTACTGTCAGCAAAAAAATCCACCGAAGAATCAAAAATTCTCTTTAAATAGTAATTGTTGGAGTGTAATATGATAATGGTTAGATAGATTAGCTCAAAAACTACATTTCTGCATAATCATAATAAAAAATGAGTGTTTACTTTTCTTCAATTTTCGATTCTCCGGATGATTATTCCATTTTTTGCTGACAGTAATTTGCGAAAAAAAATTGAAAAAACTTAATTATTGGCTCCTTTCAAAGACTTAAATAGATAAAATATAATAGTTTTTGCCATTTTACATCGATTTAAATGTAAAAGTTATGCTTGGTAATGGAAAATTTCCCAGAAAATTTGATTCTCCCGATGATTTTTTGAAAAAATTATCTGGAGAATTGCCCATTTGCGAGAAAAAAGCTTTAACATTAACGGATAAAATAAATTTGAATAAATTTGAGCTGGTAAAAGCTTAATATTTGAAACATTTTCGTTAAAAAGCTTTCTAGTAGATCATCAGTAGAACTGCTTATTTAAGTGATAATTTTCTGTGCAGACTGATTTTGTCGTTCATAGTTGACAGAGTTCGTCATGAAAAATAGTAGAAAGCCTGTTCTACCTTCATTAGCTTTAAGGTTGTAGAGCAAAATTGCAATAATTAACTCCAATTTTAATACAAATACACTCATTTAATTGACCAATCCCAAGAAGAAGCCTAAGTGTTAATCAACAAGCTATTCGACTTCCTTGTAAGCTCCAAAAAATTTATAAAGCAGATTAAACAACTTCCATATTAATCGTCAACAATGACGACGAGCAACTTTTGGCACTGCTGAGCTTTTAAAATTGGCTTATACCATATTGTAGCCATTAATGTGCGTACATGCAATCATTGCTAATTTAACATTATCATAAATTTTCTTCCTTGATGTCAGTGAGTGTAAGTGATGTGAAATCAACGGTTTTATGTACATACATACTTTTCTGGCTTGTTTTAAGTCAACAAGAAATGCGACGTAATAAATTATATCTTATTTGCTTCCGCTTCGCTCACTCCTTCTTTTTTCACCGCAACTGAAATGATATAAAATCCGGGAGTAATGTATTGCATGGTAGGTCTTTTTGTGGCACTGTGCGTCATTCTTTACTGAAAAATTACGATGAAAGTGAAATGAATGTGTGCTGAAAGAATTTGTGAATAGTGTTGAGATTCTGTTGTGGAAGTTGTTTGATGTAAGGTTTGTGTGATTTTCACGAGAAAAACTAATTGATTTTGGAATGTGTTGAGGAAAATGTGGTTGTATGGAAATCATAATTGATGTAATTTTGTGAATACTTGGAGTAGATTTATTGAGTAATGTTGAGCTTCTTTTTCAGCTTTCCATCATTTGAAGCATTCCTTTCAAGTCTCTCAGCTACTCAAGCAACAGTTCTAAAGCCAAGAGTCCCAAAATAATAGTAAGAAGCTTTAAGTTTGGTGTCAAGCCGGTCCTATACGAGGAATGTGACTTACTCATATTCATCAATTCTGTGTCTAAACTTGAGACAGTTTGTTGCGTTCTCTCTGAAATCACTTAAATCACACACAATCCTTAAATACGATAAAAGGCACTCAAACAATTTCTTTTCCTGAATTCTTCTGGAACATTAAATTTTTATTTATTGCCTCCTACTTTTTGCTGCTACACATTTAACCACCAAATGAGTTGTGTTTACAAAAAGCATTATTCATACGTTAGCGACTACATTTCCCTTAAAATAGGATGTGCTTGTGATTTTATGAGAAACTTGATGTTATTTTAGGTTATTTATCTTGTTGACTTATTAATATTTAGTTCCAATTATTGCTTGTCTTAATAATCAACTTTCAATTGCCAATTTTAATTTCTTTCAAGCAACACGAATTAATAAAAGAGACGTAAATGGGATCCAAATGAAATCTGATTTCGTTCGGGGCTACAACATCCCAATCACAAGTCTAAAATTATCAAGAAAAATTTCATTTCCCTTAAAATTTGTTTTCACATAGATTACATGCTTTTTAACAATATACCCGAAAAATTCGATAATCAACTGTTTGAAAATAAAATAAATATGCTTGTACGTGCTCAAACAGATAAAACATACATTATTAAAACATATGTCTCAGAAGTAGAGTGGATTATGTCAGGATGAGCCGACTTAATGCTTAAAAAAATCTCTTAATACTTACAGCATATTTGTGTTACTTAAAAACCTTTCAACAATGCAGCAATGAAAATTGAGAAATTGAATTTTGGAAGGATGGAAGCAATTTTGTTCCAGTTTTGGCCTTGGTTTTTGAAGCGTTGGAAGAAGGAAGAGCGAGCAACCATGCTCTTGGAAATTTTGTCAAAACCATTGATCCAAATTTGATTAAATTAAATATGTTTTAAAGATTTTTGTTGATCTTTCGTGAATTTCGTAAAATTTCTGAATTTCCTGAATTTATAAGGGCCTCGTCACAAAAAAATTGTACGTGAGTGACGATTTGTTATTCTTGATTATCTCCTTATCCTTAAAAGTGATAAATTTAAGAATTACTTTTTTGAAAAGAGAATTAAAATCCCCATCTATTGTTGTACAATTCACTTCATGGATGTTTACAGTTACTCGAAAAAATCACTTTAACTAAGCGTCACTCACGTACAATTTTTGGGAATTCTGCTACATCTCCATTATTGTTTATTGATACATCTCCAAATGTATTTTTTTAGAACCGAAATTCAATTCTGTTCTTTTTGAGTTTATAAAAAATTTAAAATTGCTGCATTAACATCCTTAAATGGACAAAATTAAGTTAAAAAAGTTTTAACGGTTTTAACTTTTTTGAATTTTTTCGGTTGTAATTTATTTGTTTACAAACAAAATCGAAAATGAAATTTGAAAAGTCACGAAAATATCACTCAATAATGATGTAAAAGCTCTTAAAATAGTCGGAACAGCTAATGCATCATCTACTTTTCGTATTCAAATCATAATATTTGGGATTAATGATTGAATAATTAAGAATTTTGAGAATTTAATTTTTGATGTTTTGTATGATAGTGTTAGTGAAAAATTCAAATTATTTTTTTCCGTTAAGCAAAAATCCTTAAAAAAACTTTATTATGAACTTTAATAAGTCAAACCAACTTAAATCACTGTAAAAAAATGAAACAGAAAAATTCTCATAAAATGCTTATTTTACCCATTTTTTCATTACTTCAAATGGACATAAGAAGTGATAAATTGCTGCTAGAAAATACCATGAGAATTGTGTACCGTAAAAATCTATGTATATGTACCATTTCTACTATCATAATAAGCATATGGAGTTCTCATTTAAGCAAGGATTTTTTCATCCTTCCATTTTCATAGTTTTATATATTCTGTTCTTGATGTTAATGTTGATGTTCTGTTTATATTCATTGCCGAGCTCAAACAAAAGCAACTTTTTTTCTCGTCAATGCGATTACTCTTTATTTAAAAGGAAAAAAAGGCTTTCAACCATAATCTTGTATTAAGTATGTCCTCTTTTTCTGTTGCATGGATCAACATCAACTTAATAATTTTTGAATTCATTGTTTAAGTGGATCTGCTTGAAAAAAATAGTTTGGGATGGTAGTAAAATATTTTTTATGAAGGATCCATTAGCTAGGTGGGTCAGTTGAGGTTTTATGAATGCCTTTTTTTTTTTATTGCAAGAAAAATTGTGAACGCTGTGGAAAGTGAAAATTTGTTTTTCGTTTTCTGCCAGTTCTTGGTGGATGGATGTACTCTTTTATATTTATGTTATGCTATTAAAACTTTTTTAGACAAAAAAAAATGTTTATGCTTGGTAAGTTGAGATGGAGTAGTGAGACTTATTTTCTTTAGAGATTTGGCTTGTGACGCACTTTTGGAGCATAAAATCAACAATATGCTAATTTTGCTATCGTATTGATATCTTAAAAAGAGACAAAGGGAGTCATTTGTATATGAAGTCACTGAAGTTGAATTTTTAAACCACATCTACAGTCACAAAGCTTTAGATCCTTCTATTTTGGGTTACAGCTATGCTTCAGTTACGAAGCTTGGTTCGTGTGTTGGGTGTAGTATTGATGTCTTTGGCATAGAACAAGGATATACTAGCATCCGGATGACTTCCTTAAACGGCATCTTGCGCACACGGATTGTGACTAGGTACATTGCAGGGTACATCAGGTCTTATGACGTACTCGTGTCTTTGCAATGTGCAGAGCTTGCAAGTGGCTCGGATCCCACTATAAACTGTAGGTCTAAAGGGTGTGGTACAATAGATTCTGTTCTAATTTGAATCGCAGTGCCTCCAGCTGAAAGGCTGGGCCCTTCACACATTATTATGCTTCCAAAGTGTACAATTATGATGCCCAGCTCTAATTCAATTGTTGTATAAAAATTGCCAGATCAGTCACGGTAAGAATCAAACAAACATTCTCACAACAGCTTACTAATCTTATTTAATGCTACACATCATTTCTGAATGTCCCCCACAAACCAGTATGACAAAATAAATAATCAAATTAATTTACTTTAAATAAAAAGTACCCAAAAAAAAATTTATATCAATGAGCAATCCCCATCCTTCGCATACTTTATTACTGTAGAATAAAGAAAACATTTTCTGTTGTTTGCATTCGATACTTT